CTGTCACCCAGAGCAGCATCACTGCCCTAAAAATCCCCTAGCTCTGCTGATCCCAGCCCTCGCCACCACTGATCCTCCTACTGTCTCCTTCGTTTTGCCTTTTCCAACATGTCACATCGTTAGAATCCTGCAGGACGTAACCTTTTCAGGCCCGCATCTTCCCGCTGGCCGTATTCATCGAGGGCTCCTCCATGCCTTCTCACAGTGGGATGGCACGCTTCTTTTGTGGCTGAATAATAGTTCATCGTCTGGATACAGCACGGTTCGTCCATCCATCCACCTGCTCAAGGACAACCTGAAACTTCTCTTTTCAATGTAGAGCACGTGGCTTACTTTGGGCCAGGTTCTGGGAGACTGAGGAGAGCCTGGCCCCTGCTTTCGCAGGGTTTTGCCGTTGCCTCCCTGGCCTCCTTGTGTGCCCATCTTCAAAATTTGGCAGCTGCAGCCGGACAAGGAGTGAACCCCCTTGGGAGGCAGGTGCACACCAATTGACCTACCTGTGGTCCCAGGGCCGGGCAGGGCCAGCTGGAGGGAAACCTATAGGAGTGCCACCTGCCTGGAGGCAGCGGGGTCCTTCCGGCACAGTGTCTACCTCCCATGGCGAGAGAGCAGTGCCTCTGCCACCACTCTGCAGCCCCAGGGCACCCCGGAGGCAGCCCGGGTGGGTGAGGTTGGGGCCTCCAAGCAAGTCCACGCTCTTAGCAGCTCCCTCCAACCTCCCACCACCCTGACCAAGTATATTTCCAATCACCTGGAAGCGGGTGAGGTCAGGCCAGTGTTCTTGAAAACAACCACGGCAGTCGTGCATTGAGCACTTACTATTTGCTGGGCTGGTTGCTATGGTTTGCCTAAGGTCCTGGCATCCCTGGGGCCAGGTAACGCAGAAGAGGACAGATGCCTGGTTGGAGAGGCAGACAGACACACAGACGGAAGGCCAGAAGTTTCGGGGACTTACCTGGGGTCACAGCATGCAGAAGCTGAGGCTGCCTCAGAGTCCACCTGACCCCACCGCCCGCACTGCTCCCGGGAATCTGAAGCTGATGCTTCTCTCAGGCTGGATTCGGGCCGGATTCCAGCAGCATGAACCCCGCCTTAGCGGATCACAAAGAGACTTGTGTGCGCTGTTCTCCGTGTTGCCAATAGAGGAGAACATAAGAGTCTTGAAGACCGCAGCCGCCACCCCTGTGAGCTCTGAGCCTCAGATGTGGACCAGGTGCGTCACCCACACAGCAGCCTACAGGGGCCCCGGTGGCCTGAGCCACGAGTGGTCAAGAGAGGCACCGTCTGAAGCTGAGTCCACCATTCTAATCCTTGCTCTGCACCAGGAGGCTTAGATTCCTGCCCAGAAAACCTTCGCCTTCTGCCCCCTCCCCACCATCGTTATTAAATGACAGATGAGGTGGTTTCTGCATTGACTCTGCAGGCAAAAGGCACGTGGGACAAACCTGCTGTGGATTCAGCCAGAGTGAGAAAGGCCGCAGTGGCCTCCAGCGGCTGCTGACTGAGCCCACGAGACCCTCGCTGGGCTCTGCCCTGTCCACAGTTTGTAAAATTAGAGGCAGGGCTAGGGTGGTGCTGAGTTATTTTTCATGCGGTTCGTCTCCTTTCCTGTGTCTGCTTCCCTGGCTGACTCCTCTCCCTCGTCCCCAGACAGCTGACACCCACCACCCTTGGTCTGTTTGGAATCCCCGCCTGGGAAGAGCTGCTGCCCAGTGTGACCGAGGTTCCTCCTCCGTGCTGTGCCGTCTCAGTTCCACCCATGGGCAGGAGAGGATGGGTGGCCAGCCCGCCGGCTTCCGGGATGTGGGATTCTGGAAACAGGTCGGGCAGGGTGGAACTGGGTGAGGAAATGGCCCCTTCTGTCTGAGATGCTGTTGCTGGATTTTTACCAGGGGGGTGAGGAGACCTTCCAGGACCAGAGCTCAATCAGTGCTGGTGTTGAGCAGTTGTGTGAATAGATGTGAGTGCGTGTGTCTGTGTGTGAATAAGCTTAGTCCTCACATGAAGGGTGGCAGGTGTATTCTGGGCCTGTGCCGCACCCCTCGGCCCACCTGCAGCGCCCCTGGCTCTGTGCCTCAGAAACTCACTCAGCCCAGATGCCAGGCAGCCCCTAAGAGGGGCTGGGAGTTCCGCCCTTGGAGCAGCTCTTGCACTCAGGGGAGAGGCGGTAGGGGGACAGGTGGTGGGGGGACAGGCGGTGGGGGGACAGGCGGTGGGGGGACAGGTGGTGAGGGGACAGGCGGTGAGGGGACAGGCGGTGGGGGGACAGGCGGTGAGGGCCAGTTTCCCGGCTTCCCTTCCTTCTGAGGGATGAGCTGAGGCACGATCCTCAGGGTTTCCTGGAGGGCTCCAAGCTGTGAGGCCCCCCTCCCAGTCGGGTAGTGGCTCAATAACACACCTGCCACAGGCTTTCACCTTCCTGGCTCCTCACTCCAACCTGGCACCTGGGACCCCTGAAATAGACCACCACATGCCCAGCCTTATCTTGAGACCAGCTTCAATGGAACCTGGACCAAGACAGGAGGAGCTGGCATTAGAGTGCTGTGGAAATAAAAGAAGGCGTGAGGACAAGTGGGTTTGACCTCCTCAGAGCCGTTACGGCAAGGAGTCGGCCACGTGGGCAGGCAAGCAGTGGGGAAGCCTCCCAGGGGGAAAGGACGGCTCCGGCCTGAGGGGACTGCAGGTGGCACCTGGAAGGGGGCATCTCATGTGACTGGTTAGGGGAGTGCTTGGCTTTCTCTGAATGAGCCTAACTGGAAAGCGGAGGCATCAGTGAGGACAGCTGTGAGTTGTGGGTCAAGTCCTGGCCATGTGGGACCGAGCTGTTGTCTGGCCTCTTGGCTGTCGAGGGAGAGCAGTGGCCTCCCTGTGGGTCTGCCACGCGGCTGGCTTCCCGGCTGGTGCCGAGGCCGGGCTCGGCTCCCTGGGCCGGCAGCGACGGGTGTGGTCTGAGCGCCGCCTTTCCTGGGCCTAGCCATTGTCCGTGTGTCCAGCCTCTGAATGAGATCGTTCGGGGTGAATTTGGCATGAGCAGAAGGCACGGGCGCAGCGCGGGCCGAATGAAAGCCCGCCCTGGGTGGCTGCAGCGGGTGGTGCTTGGTGTCGCTGGCTCTCACTCCCAGAGGAGAATGCAGAGGGGAGAGGCTCGGTGCCTCGGCCCCCGCATCCCCGCCCGTCCGATGGGTCGACCACTGCATTAGTTTCCCTGGCTTCTGTAACAAGCGACGGCAGAGTGAACACAAGTTGATTAGCTTACAATTTCAGAGGTCGCAGGGCCACCAGGTCTTGCTGGGCTAAAACCAAGGTATGAGAAGGGCTGGTTCCTTCTGGGAACTGAGGAGAATCCTCTCCTTGCCTTTTCTAGCTTCGGGAGGCACGCACATTCCTTGGCTTGTGGCCCCTTCCTCTGCCTTCAAAGCCAGCAGTGTGTTATCTCCCTGACCTTCCACAGTCACGTCTCCCTCTGGCCACAGTTGTAAAATGTTCTATTCTAAGGCCCCTGTGATGATGCTGGGCTCACCTAGACCATCCAGATCATATCCCATCAAAGCCGTTAACTTATTCGCACCTGCAAGCCCCTGTCGGGTGTGTGCACAGGTTCCGGGGATTCGCACGGGGACATCTTGGGGACATTGTTCTGCCGAGCACAGCGCTGGCCACAGAGCCTCCTGCCCTGGGCTCCGGGCCGTCAGCCCCCCAGGCTGATTCACTCTCGCAGGCCAGCACTTGCCAAGCAGCTGCTCCTCTCCGCCAGCCCCCAGGACCCACTGCCTGGGTTCTGCCCGGGTCCTGTGCGGCCAGCTCTGTGCCTGGTGGGGCTCCACGCCCAGCTCCCACACCTCCGTCTACCAACTCCTCCTCAAGCTTCAAAGTGATGCCCACCTGGCCGCCTGGTGGTCACTGTTGCTCACCTGGCCGTCCCTAATGGCCACGGGGAGCCCCTGGAAGGGCAGGCCTGAGGCTTCTGTGCCGTGGCCCCTTTCCTGGGCCCTGGTCTCTGTAGATGCTTTGGGAGAGTGGGGATGAGGGGTGTGTCACCCTGCCCGGTCCCCGGGAGCCCCACAGTCAGGCCCTATGACCATCCATCCTGACCTGTCCATCCAGCTGGCTACTCCTTAAACAGCCTGTACGGTGGTGGCTTTAAGGGGGCTTTAAGGGAATAGCAGCAATATTCAGCTCCACATCCCAGGACCCAGAGGAAATTTGAAGTGAGCTCCCCTGAGGACCATGGCTGCTGTACTTGCAGAAGAGAGGATGCTGGTTCCTGCTGCTGAGGGTTACTGAGCTCACAGAGGGCTGCCTTCCCCCGAGACCCCAGAGGGCAAGGCTGTGCCAGGTGAAGGCAGCAGTGGTTGGATCATCTTTCAGGTTGGGGGGGGATGATGGCCTCATTGCCACAGGTGTGTGTGCGGATGGGGCTCGGGCCCCTCACTGCATGGAGCTACGTTAGACAGGAGCCCACACTAGGGGTTGACCAGATGGCCTTAGCCCTCTGACCCCTCACCTCTGTAATCTTACACTTGTGGGTCCCCAGGCAAAAGGAAACGACAGACTGTCCCTGCTGCTCTGCGGGCATGTGCTGGTGGACGTGGGGCTGCTGGGAGTGTCTGCTCTTTGTCCTCACACCCTGCTCTGCTCACCTTCATGCTTCACACGTCCAACCCTCCCCCCCCCTTTTTTTTTTTTTGAGACAGAATCTTGCTATGTCACCCAGGCTGGAGTGCAATGCCTAGATCTTGGCTCACTGCAGCCTCCCTGTCCCAAGCAATTCTCTTGCCTCAGCCTCCTGAGTAGCTGGGATTATAGGCATCTGCCATCATGCCAGGTTAATTTTGGTAATTTTAGTATAGACGGGGTTTCACCATATTGGCCATGACTCGAACTCCTGACCTTGTGATCTGCCCGTCTCGGCCTCCCAAAGTGCTGGGATCACAGGCGTGAGCCACCCACCGCGTGGCTATATCCATCCTTTAACACCGCTCTTCTCTCTCTCCTGACAGTGTCGCAGCCCCAGGCTGCTCCCAGCCCCCTGGAGAAGTCGCCCAGCACGGCCATCCTGTGCAACACGTGCGGGAATGTGTGCAAGGGCGAGGTGCTGCGGGTGCAGAACAAGTACTTCCACATCAAGTGCTTCGTCTGCAAAGGTGAGAGGCCCTGCTCCCCACAGTGCGGCCCCACCCCGGCAGCCTGGCCCCGCCCCCCGCAGTGTGGCCCCACCCCGGCAGCCTGGCCCCGCCCCCTGCGGTGTGGCCCCACCCCCGGCAGCCTGGCCCCGCCCCCACAGTGTGGCCCCACCCCGGCAGCCTGGCCCCACCCCCCGCAGTGTGGCCCCACCCCGGCAGCCTGGCCCCGCCCCCCGCAGTGTGGCCCCGCCCCCGGCAGCCTGGCCCCGCCCCCCGCAGTGTGGCCCCACCCCCGGCAGCCTGGCCCCGCCCCCTGCGGTGTGGCCCCGCCCCCTGCAGCGTGGTCCTTCAAACAGGCCTCCCAGTGGCAATCCCAGGTCCTCAGAGTGTCCCTGGGAAGCTCCGCTTAGGCCTGGGATATCGGAGAACACTCCAGGGACAGAGTCTTCATAGGACAGCATGATCTTTTCAACATAGCCCTTGTCACTTGCGGGTGTGATGGAGAAATCGCCGGAGTGGGGAGGGTCACGGGATGAGGGTCCAGGTCCCCAGGGGTGTCCTCGTGTGGCCACACCCAGCCTCAGAGAATTCTGGTCCTGTGGCCAGAGCAAGGCGGCCACCTGGGCCCCGTAGCCACACAGGTAAATGGTCAGGGTCAGCCACACGAACTCAGCAGTGGGGGGAACACGGGACCTTTGCTGGACCACAGGCACGCGGGCGCCCCCACCCGAAGCAGCACCGAGCACATTACCCGTATTCCAGATGAAAATCACTTCCATTTCTCTATGATTGTAAAACAATAATGTAAATCATCTACTAAATTCCAATAATACTGAAAAGATGAGGAAAAAGTAAAACAACGAAAAAATCACGTGAGGCCCCGCCAGCCGAGATGGCCCGTGCCAGAGTCTCCCTCCAGCCTGTTCTCACTTCCTGTACAAAGATAGCTCATGTGCCGTTGCTAATTTTCTAAAAACAGATTAAAAATAGCACTGGGGGAAGGGATGTGCAAATCAAACCAGTTTGATGGTTGTTGACCCGAGGAGTTTGCAGTCTTAAAGGAACTGCATTAGGGACATTGCAAATCCCTGCTGCGGAGCGCGGCCCGGTTCATGCCTGCCTTCTGCAGGTTTGCTATGACAGCCCCCTGGGCCATTTGGAGATTCACAGTCCCTTAACCATGATGACCCTCCGTGAAACCCAGTGCGCTGACTGCTTGCTTTTTTCTGGGCAAAGAAAATTAGGAAATGTGCTACAGCAGATAATGTAGTGTCATGATTTTCATCAGACGTCTGGCGGCCCCGTCCAATGGTTGCGGGCTGCAATCATCTGCTCCACCAAGGGTCTAGGAGGCCCCGCTGTGCGCCGGGCTCTGGAAAGTTCTAAGGACCAAGAAGGTGCAAGCTTTCGTTTGTTCACTGTCACTGTCTGGTGAGGGAGATGATGATGGATAAGGTGTGTGATACGATTTGAAAAGATGACTTTTTATAGTGAAAACCAAGCACGTGTGTGTAGGGGGTACCCAGAGGGAAGGATTTAGAAGATGCCAGAGAGGACTTTGCAGGGGAGGTGGTGTGCTGGCTGGAACCTCCAGACAGTGGAGATCTGCCTGCCAGAAGCAAGGCCACTCCAGACACAGGGGAATCCTCCCGGCGCCAGCAGCCCGGCGGGGACATGTGACTGCGTCTCAGAGAGGGGAACACTGAGGTCTGGAGGCACTGGGAGCTTGCCCGGCCTGTCTGCAGCTCCTGGGCCAGGGTCTTCCCTCCTGGGTTTCTGTGGAGGCGCCTTGAGGGTCTCCGGGTGTGGGGGGAGCAGGAGGGCAGCAGGTGGTGTCTCCCGCCCTGCCCACTGTGTGTGCAGGCGCTGTGTAAAGACTGTGTGTGTAGAGTCCTGCTGCTTGGAAAGGAAACTTGAAAACCACCGGCCTAGACTGTCCCACTGCTAAAGGGGGAACATCTAAGAAACGACCTGGCTGGCCCTGGAGGAGGTCAGAGTCCACAGCGAGGCCCATGGGGCCCTGCAGGGGGGGTCGGTGACTCAGGGAAGCTGCTGAGTCCAGCCAGCTCTCCACTGGCCCCGGGACCCCAAGGGGGCTGCACCGTTTCCGGCAGGAGTGGGAGTGCCCTGGATCCCTCCGGCTGAGGCAGACCTCAGCCCCGCCCTTCAGAGATGCTGAGACTCTCCGTCCAAGGATGTGGGTGACTATCGGGGACATCACTGGGACCTCCTGACACCCCAAGAATCACATGGCTCCAGGGGTCCCCTGTATATCTATAGCCTGGCTTGGCCCCCAGTGAAGTCTCCCCACGGCACCCTGATGTCCCGGGTACCCCATGACCACTGCCCTGACAAAGGCAGCAGGAAGCCGAGTCCTCATATGTGGGGACCCAGGGACACCCCCAGCACGGCAGCTCTGGGGACTGCTTTGGAAGAATGGCGACATGAACAACACACTCTCTGGCACATGCTGGGAAGGATTTGTCTTCTGGGAGTGGGTGACAAGCTGTGAGTGTGAGCATGGCTGGCCTTCAGCCTCACGCATTAATGTAAACAAGCAGGTAGTCTGCCTTCCTGAGCCCCAGGATCCCCACTCCCCTGGGAGAAGGGGTGGCCACCGCCCTGGCCTTTCTCTCCCTGCAGCTGGTAGATTTCATGCTTTTCATTAGGGCTTTCCAGGGCATCGTGGGATTTGTCTGGTCTAATGTTTTCTCCATAAAAATACATTTGCCACATTTCTGAAAAGCAAAATCCATTAGAAGGCTCTTTTTAAAAGCCTATTTTAAAAGACAAAGGGAAAGCTTACACTTTATTTGAAAGGATTTCTGTAAGCACAGACCTTGGGCATGCATCAGATCCCAGAGTCAAGTTCGTTACCTCCTGTGACCCAGAAGCTTCATGGGTGGTGGGGGCTGTCCCACGTCCCCCTCCCCTGTCTCCTCCAGTGGATGTGGGTATAACCCTGACCTCTTCCTTGGCAGCTACAGGCGGTGGGACAAGACAGTGTCAGTGGCAGGCTGGGCCAGGGCCGGGGACACGCCCTCCATCACTGAGATGATTAATGACCATGGGCTCCGGCAGTGGCAGGGGTCTGAGGGCAGGCCCAGTGCCAAGATCCAGCACATACACCCACAGCTGGTCAGAGTCTCACTCTGTGCCAGGCACCTGTGCCAGGCCTGTTGGCTCTGCAGATACAGGAGCCAGGGCGGTGGCCACCCCTTCCCCTAGGAAAGCTCTGTCGTCAGTGTGGGGCCCTGTGCTTCTCCTTCGGGAGAACAGCACGTAGTAACTAAGATTTCCCTCGCGCTTTCCAATGAACGGCACTTGCTTAACATCAGGACCGCCCCGTCTGGGGTTAATCTCTCCAGGCTCTCCTGAGAATGCCGCTTATGAATCACTGAGGGTACTTTGGGATGAATGAAAAGAAGACCCAACTCATAAATATCCATCATGGACGTTTATCATCCTAACATGAAGTCTGGGGGTAGACACACAGCCCTACCCCAGGGTTGGCTAATTAAACAACTCACCGGGGTCATCACAGATGCCCAAACGCTCCCTCTCCCACACTGCACCCTGTTCATGTCAGCAGTGCCTCTCCTCATGGTCTCAGGTGGCTGCCTCTGCTCCAACACCTCTCCTCATGGTCTCAGATGGCTGCCTCTGCTCCAACATCACACCTCTCCTCATGGTCTCAGATGGCTGCCTCTGCTCCAACATCACACCTCTCCTCATGGTCTCGGGTGGCTGCCTGTGCTCCAACATCACACCTCTCCTCATGGTCTCAGGTGGCTGCCTCTGCTCCAACATCACACTCACAGCATGGCATCCAGCCTGGAGATGTGCGCAGGGAAAGGCCCTCTCCTGGTATAACCCTCCCTCTCATTAGGGAGGAGAGCCCTTTCCCTGAAGGCTTTCCCCAAAGACTCCTCATATGACTCACTGGCCAGAACTCTGTCAAACATTTACCCCCATTGACAACGAGGAACAGGAGGGTGATGACTGACTCAGCCCAGCCATGGCCACCCTTGGTAGGCACGTCACCAGGTGAGCCAAAGCAGGGTCTGTTATCAGGGAAGACGATTGTGTCACAACCCAATTCTGATTCGAGAGGTCCCACTGTGTTGGGTTCCTACTACCCAGGCACTTACTTGTGCCTCAGTTTACCAGGGAAAATCTGTGAAAGAAATTGTATGATTATCCTCTTGTCTATGGCTGCCCCAGGCTTGGGGATTCAAATTCCACCTCTGTCACCCACAGCTCATGTGGATCTTAGGCAGGTGTCTCAACCCAGGTTTTCTAAGTAAAAGTCATTTGACAACTATTTACTGAGCACCTACTACGTGCTAGGCACTGTTCAGGGTGTTGGGGAGGTAGCCGTGAACAAAACAGACATCCTGTCCTCACAGGGACCGGGTCTAATGCAAGGAGGCAGACGACAAACACAATAAAGAATAAAAAAGCAAATTTCATCGTATGCTGGAAAGTGGTCCCTGCTAGGAAAGGAAAGATGCAAACTGGGTGGTCAGGGTGGGCCTCACGGAGGAGGTGATCTTCGGGCAAAGCCTGGAAAGGGGTGAGGGAGTTAGTCGTTCACTCATGTGAGGGAAGGGCGTTCCCACCAGAGGAACAGCCAGGGCAGAGCCTAAAGCAGGCAGGTTTGGGAACAGCAGGAGGCCCATGTGGCTGGAGCAGAACGACAAAGGGAATAAGAAAGGGTGAGCCTCTATGTCCCTGTGAGGACCGTGGCTTTGACGCCAGCGAGGAAGTGCAGAGGGTCTTGCTCCGACCTTATAGGTTTCAATGGATGGCTGGGCGCTCGTTGGCGAGGGAGGCCAGCACAGGAGTCAGGAGGAGGCCAGAGGCAGGAGCAGGTGCCCAGGCTGGAGCCGACAGTGGCTGGGATGCGGGGTGTGACGGTGTCTGATTCTGGATGCCTTTGAGATCCAGCTGGCCCTGTCCTTACCCTACAAATGCGAACGCATGTTGAACATAAATACGTCAAACCCGCAGCACGGAGC